AAATCAGTGGTTAAGTTGTATTTACAACACTGTTCCAGAACAGTTCAAACCAAATATTCAGATGTGTGCAGCGCATTTTATGGAGGACGAGGACTGTTTCCTGGGAGAGTAGCCTACAATGCCGGTGTTCTGGTGAATTCAGTTCCCCTGTTTTCTCTTCGGCGCGCATGCTGACCCTATACAGACTATGATGCTGACAAATAATACTGACTCACAACCTGTAAGTACGTTTTCATATTTAAAGGATTTGCCACTGACAATTCAAACGTGAGTTTTGAGCAGTGTAGAGTAGCGCTTGTTGTTTGTCGTTTCTCCGATCACAAATGCAGACATGGTTTTATGTTTACGTGGCGCGATGCAATGCAACGCGTAAAAAGACAGTATAAGTCATTAATAATAAGTAATTTTGTCCCCACTGGATGCAACAAATGCCTCGTTTATAATGGGTTTTAATGTTTTTGTCTCGTTGCTCCGGCCGGGACAAGGCATCACAGTATGGTAAGGGGTGTAACATTTCCGTCACACGCTTGAGGTATTCGGCCAATCACAACGCACTGGATAGCTGGCCAATCAGAGCACACCTCGCTTTTGCGTTTCAGAAAGGTGGGGCATAGAGGAGAAACAATAATGTTCAGTATGTGGAAAATAATGTGTTTTTTTAACCTTAAACCGCATAAACACATTTCATTACACCAAATACACAAAATAATGTTATTTTTTAGCAATGTCATATGACCCCTTTAAAATGGTAATTTGAAAAATACTTTATAATAAAAATCTTTATATTAAATAGCTTTTTATTAAAACAATATAGTGAATGACAATCGTCTGTGGTCTCCCAGTGGTTTACATTATGTACAGTTTAGCTTTTTTTCTTCTTTTTTCCCCATTTGTTTTTCAATTTTTTCCCCATTATTTTCAACTTTTTTTGTCTTGCATTAATGAAATTTCTGCAGCATTCATTGGCACTTTTTTCTTTTTGTGCTGATAAAGCATTTTTTTTTTCTTGTCCCTGTTTTTCCTGAAAAACGTTGCCATGCACAACTTGACCTATAATGAATCTTCCTACTTCTATTTCCACAGAAGCGTGTGACTAGGGCAAAGTGCCTGAGATGGCAATTTTTTTTTTACTGAAATCACCCACTCGCAACATCTAATTAATAAATCAGACAAAACATTTACCATTAATTATTGATACCATGTGTCCTAGGTGGTTATGTAGTTTTGCATGTTGTTTGGTGTGATTTGGCGCTATGATATTACTATTGTGACATGACTGTTATATAATATGCGCTATGATTTTGTTGTTATTTAAAGTGTCAGCAATATACTAAATGGAAAGAAAGGAAGAAGCACTTTTGAATGTCCATGTGTGCAACTTTGCGACATTTGTACACAGTGTAAGAACAAGAACAGACATTTATTTTTGTTTTGTTTATTTTGAAGGTAGGAATGCAAAGTAATTTACATCATGACATACTGTACATACTGGGTTCATATAAATAAGTATCAAAATATATACATACATTCAAAATCATGACATTCACAGAAAGCATTCATGAAATGTACAGACCACAGTCTGTTAATTATAAGGGGAATGGCTTGAGATTCACTCACATGGACACAAACACACACTCGTACCTTGTGACAGGAGAGACGGCTAGCCAGTTTTTTTCCCCTTTCTGATGTGGTGAAATGAATGCGTCATTATGGGCTGATATCAGTCTCTTGCACTTCCTGTCTTCTAAAATGTTCTCAACTGAAGGCGATGTCTCAGACATATAGATTTTACTAGATTCTTTAGGTCATGCTATAGACGTTAGCATTGACCACAAAAGCCAATATGGCTAACGTGTGACATCACAGTTAATCACTGCAAATTTCTTTGTAATCAAAACAATTGCCTGTGATGACATATATAACATCATAGAGTGTTGTTAGGAAATCCTGAGTAACTAGAGTGGTTTTGAGCCTTCTTTCTTGCAGGGCAAAAAGCAACACATGTAGTCATACTGTATACAGTTTTGTTGACAGCTGTTGCTCTATAACTAAATCAAATTAAAATATTTTTTACTGTCAAATAATTCAAGGAACCACAACAGTCTATGACAGCCAAATAACATTATCCACTCTTGTCCATTTGAAAAAAAAAAACTATTAGTATAACTTTTTGTCCACATACAGTATATGGATATGACAGGTAGGACAAAAATAAATTATATTAATAAATATATCAACAAAAACATACTCTGGGCATCTCTTCAACAGTTATAGATGTACAAAAATAAATATTAATAAATTACGTCAATATTGTTTTATGCCACAGAACAGAGTTCATCAAGAACCATTTTTGGTCCTCTTTCTGCACATTTTCCCCTTAAGAGACTTCTGTTCTTGAACTGCTTGACTAAGGAGCTCCTGAAGCCGAGACAGAACAATGCATCCATAGGCTTTCTGCTGGAAAATATTTTGCGCAGGGGGAACTCCCGTTGGCCTTTCAGCTGGCTCAGGAATGGGTATATTTGGCTGCAGGATTTGTAAGATACAGTTCACCCTCAGAGCAATGTGGCGAACATGTGTAATCATACTGTGAAGCCCCTCCACCACAGGGTTTGTTGGAGGATTTAAGTCTTTCTGCTGCTCCATCACTGTCTTCATGTGCGGAAGAAACTCTTTCAGGTGGGTATAAACACTCAAGATGCGCTCCGACATGGTCTGGCCAGAGATGGTTGATACTGGAACATTGTCCATTTGCATATCACAGATCAGGTCTGCAGAATCTCCTTGACTGGCTTTCTGAATGAGAGGAGACAAGAGTCTATAAGAACCCTGGTTCTTATCAATCGATCTTGATTTTAGTTGTTTTGTCTTATGATGAATCTTTTTAAGTAATCTTGAGGCCCCCCAGTGGGCCTGGTTAAGAACCAGTGGCCTAGACAGAAACTGATTCTTGAAAATAAACCTACTCTGTGACACCATAGCCCTATTCAGTGTCATGACTGTCTTTTGCATAACCCATATTTAACTATTCATCTGAAAGAGTCATTTCCACATTTGATGTCTATTCATGTACAGTATATACTGTCAAAGAGCTAAATTTACAGTTCCCACATATTCCCACCCACTCTCAAAACAGCCCAGTTTTGTCAATGGAAGGAATCACCTCACTGTATGTGGAATCCACCCAAGCAACTGTTGACCATATTAGGCTCACATTGTCAGAGCATCTCTTCTTTGTTGTACCAATCACAACTGATATAGGACCACTGACGTAAACGTCCTTTGCAAGGTTAACAATTATACTTTCAAAAAAGAAACTATAGAAAGAGAGTACTTACATATGTTTCTAAGAGCTCTGCTGTCCTTTTGCTCATCAACCTAGTGAGCTTCAGACTACGGTGAAGAAGCTGGGTGCAGTTCTCATTCTTGCATGACATTGTTGGATGCACAAACTCAACAGCAATCAAGATGAGGATAGGGAGGATTATTCCTGAATAATAATACAAATTTTTAATTAAAGTCATGTTCAGCAAAACATATTCCTTTTTTTCTGTTGACCCTTTAACAGATGTAGTAGTAGATCTTTAGCTTCACATTCACTGCTGTCAGAATGACCAGATGTCCATCTTATGAGTGCACATATATATAATTGGTATACATGTAAAGAGATCACATGCAACATACTTTAACAAATATGCATGTTTTGTTTATGTATATTGTAATTGGGTTATTAATCAAATCACAGCATTAACAATGTTCCATGTCTGACCATTGTTAAGCATGCCTGTAAGCATATTGTTATGTGTGCAGTGTAGATGTAATACTTACTGAATTTTGCTTGTGATCTCTGAGATAGGCAGACCATGTTCCTAACATGACAATTCATTCTCCGTTCACAGACAAAGTTTCAAACTGGTCATGATCACAACTCTGAAAAAGTTTTTAAAGACTGAAACCACACATTTGTCATTGGAAGGAAATGACGCGGCCAGCTTTCTGAGGCAACAAGAGTTCCCAGAATTTTTTTTCTTTTTGCGTCTTCATTATCACATGTACTATGTGTAATGTTCCCTCCTTCTTTAGTTGCCACCCAGTTTTTGTGTGGCTGTATCTCCTTACGTGATGTAGAGTCTGGATAGGTTGAGCAATCATGTCTATTTGTCATAGCTAATTTACATTTAATGTCATTTACATTTAATTACTCTTACCTCTCATATCTTAAAAAGATTTTTATGTTGCACAATGCTACGTGTATTTGGGATAACATTAAATAAGCAGAATACTTTTATTTATTAACATTTTTATGCAAGTATACCCTTGGATTTTGAGATCAGTCTTTTCTGACATTACATTGTGTTTATCATCGTGTTCAGTCGATAACATTGCTCTAAATTTGTCAAAACCATGCCAAAAACAACAAAAATTAGAAAAGGAACCACCATCCAGCACAGCGCTCATCCACCCTTGCTCTGAACTCTATGCCTGTTGGTTCAACAGGAAGTGGCCTTGTAATAGGAAGGTAGTTTCTCAACACTAGATTTTCACTGATACCTTTCGATCTTTTGACGTAAAAGCACAAAGTTGGGAAATTCAGCCACCTATGAAGTTCAGACCAGGAAGGAAGATGACAAAGACTTTGTTGTGCTTTGATTTGCTGTCACTTTTATTCAACTTTTGTGTGATGCAATTGCATTTTTGTAGCATGCAGAATGACTAAAGTGGACAAAAACATGCATCTGATGTTAACTGAGCTAAGCTTTATTTTGAATCTTTATGACTCAGGCCTACAAGGGAATCCCTAGAGCCATATATTTAGAACTTGCACAAATTTACTATAGTCCCCCAATTAAAGGCTGATCTCACAGCCACATCTGTAAAAATATATTTGTATGTTGCTTAGGCAAATAAATGTAATTTCTTGGGTAAGAAGTCTGTTGTTTCTGCATAAGTGTGACACTGATGTGGTAAAAGTCACAGGGGAAATCAGTGTCTTCTCAGCAAAACACAGGTAATTGTAGTTCAATACCTGGTACTTTCCACAACTCTTACAAAAAACAAACAAACATGCACTATAGGTAAAGTGTCGTGCAGAGGAGAAACTGGAAGTGCTGGATTTGCCCTTTTATGCTGACTGTGGTCACTTTCCCCTGCATTGGTATTGTTGTTTTAACATCCTAGGGTTTGGATGTGGGTGTGGCAGCCCAGTCTTGAGAACAGTATAGGGCCACTTTCTATCAAGACACCCCCCCTTCTAATGAACTCCCCTTCTAATCAACTCCAGCCAACTCTTTGGAAGTGAGACTGTGTAAATTCAGCAGTATTCGTGCAGACAGGTTTGCTTTTCTATTAGGGACAAAAAAGATCAAAAACAATTTTTCTTCACCTCTAAACCACACAGGAAATGCTTTACTTGACAGTCTTAGGAAATCCCCCAGTCTCCTTCAAGTATTTCTCATAATTACCTATTTAGGCTTTTCACCTCAAAAAATTACGTAGAATCTATAATGATAATTTGTAACAAGGGAGCATATAGCTCTCTTACTATTCAATGAGGGGAATCTTGATATTGTGTAAGAACTGTAAAAACATAACAACAGTTGTCATGTTATCGATATGTGTGTTTAAAAGTGCAACCATTAAAGTTTAGGTAGTTCTAATTGTGTGTTAATTGAGACATTTTGCTGAAATTTACAGTATAAAATGTATGAACGAAAAAAGTATTAAATGTATGAATGAAATGTAAATGAGAGGTTATATTATATTTTAGTATTATAGCCTATGTGTGTAAAATAGCCTAGCTTCCAGAAGACAGAAAAGACACTACTTATGAGTGCATCACAATTCTCAAAGGTAGCCTACTATTGTTTTCTTTACGTGTAAAACTTGTTTAAATTAGCACAAAAATCACAAAGTGCACTTTCTAGGGCGTAGCGTTGGAAACGTTAAAAGTTTAAGATGCGCACACGTTCTTTCCGCTGATTGCTAGGGTTAGGCATTGCGTAACTCACTCTATCCCACCGGATCTGTTTGCTTCCTCCTCCTCCTCCTCCTTCCTCTCAGGAAGTGCAGCCGCTAGTCTGAAGAGAGGCTCCGGACTCCCTCTCTCGCCGTACCGAGCGTCATCCATCGCGATGCCCGTAAGCGACACACGCCAGTAACAGATGAAGGCTGAAGAGGATGCGCTGGAAGCAGCAGGCTGTATGCGGGCAGCAGGGAGACGCAGCGGCATCATCCTCATCCTCATCCTCAGCATCAGCAGCAGCAGGGCGCTCGGTTAGCGCCCACCCCCACTCACTTCGTCTTTTCCTCCCCCCTGCAGAAGCATGCTTGCGTGAGGGATGAGGCTGGAGACAGGGACTTCAGGCCAGAGCTGCGGCCTTCTTCTTTTCACAAGAGCCGGGCTCGCCATCGTCGCAGCAGCAGCATCCGCCAACGCTTTGCCATCATCACACCAGCATCTTTGGTAGGCAGCCTATCTCTCCTCTTCCGCTCGCCGTTTTTGCATAAGAAATGCAGGCCTGCCATGGTCATCCACTCAACCTCACATCAGTAGCCATGGCAACCACATCCCGTTAATAAGCCCCCCCCCCCATGTCTTTCTGTCTCCGGAGCGCAGGCTTATTTTACGCTTCATTTTTGTTGTAGTAAAGATGTTCATTTTGCTGGGATTCGGAGCTCTTTTCTGGAGCTGTACATGATGTACAGTGTTTTTTCTCTCTCTCCACATATATAGATCCTTTGTAGAATGCAAACTAAGTCAGACGTTTTCACACACATATATAGAGTGAGAGAGTATCAGTTCATCATTAAAAACAGCATATTTGCTTTCATATTTGCATTTTGATTCAGTCAGTACCACTATTATAGCCATTATATTTAACTCAGGCACAGTGCGTTCAACCCATCAAGATGAAACTGATTAGCTATGAAATTATATTATTCTTCAATGTAAAATGAACTGAAGCTAAATGCTAATAGTAAAAGGCAAAATAGATGCCTGTGGTAAAAATAACGAGGTCTTCCCCATTTGTGAGATCTACCCTGACATGGCCTCTGTTGATGTTTAATACCTATTTTGCTCATGTATAAGGCAGGCTTCATAATATCTAGCTGACATGTGCTGAAATTTAACATCTTAAATGATTTTACTATTTTATTTATTTTTTTGAAAATCTGTATGCAAGCAGTTTTTATGATCTCATATTGAATGAATATTTTTAATTTCTAAATGAATTTGCCACACCACAGGATCCTTTATAATGAACCAATCATAATTCTAATATGATTATAGTGAAACACCAAACAGGGAAATCACAATGTATAGTTTACTTTTCTTTATGCATGCTTATCAATTTTAACCTAATATTTTGATATTGATAAACACATTATGCATAACTTTTCATTTATAAAACGGATAGTTCTGGTCCTTGATTCTGATTGGATGATTGTACATATTTGTACATCTTGAAAATTCTGAATAAATCATCATTTTAGAGAAATGACAAGAAAGTCACTTACTTTATGGAAATGGTCATTTTAAGGTTAACGTAAACTTGTAACTTACGGTTATCTAAAGATCTTACAAATCATGGTTTAAAAGACGAAAAGAAAAAATAAACTTTCATTTTCTTGCTTGCCTTACCTGACCTTTGACCCCCCCAACACACTGTGTGTTTGCAGGTCAGTGAGCAGATCCAGGAGCATGAGCAGGAAGTTGTGCGGCGAGAGCAGATGTCAGGGTATAAGCGCATGCAGCGGCAGCACCAGAAGCAGCTGATCGTCCTGGAGAACAGGCTAAAGGCCGAGATGGATGAGCACAAGCTCCGGCTGCAGAAGGAAGTGGAGACCCAGGCCAATAACACCTACATTGAATTGGAGCGGCTGGCCAAGAAGCAAGCTGCACAACTGGACAAGGAGGTGTGTGCTCCTACTTTACACTTTGTGGACAGGGTCATAAAAAAAGTTTAAAAGATGTCACATTTTTGTCTGCAAGTCGATATAGTGAACAAACCATGGGGTCCAGAGGCTGAAGACTACATTAAAAATCTAATTTCAACTTGGAAATAAACAGAAAGTTTTAACATTTTAACATTTTGACAAATGTTGTTATGAATGAAAGTTTTTATGAAATATTTAACTGTTTCCAGTATTTAGTATTATCAAATAAGAACATTTGTGACATTAATCACATGAACTCCTTTGTACAGGCAGTCAGATGTTCTTGCTTCCGTCTCAAATCTTGTTGGAGAACATGAACATAAGGTTTACACAAACCTGTGCAGCTTGAGCACTGCTGTGATTTAAACAAAAGATGAAAGAAGTTCTGCAGTTCAAATGCATTTTCATAATTTGTAGTAATTAAAATAAATACAGATTTTCACAAGTAGCGTTAGAATGATAAGTGGATTTTAATGAAATTACTCAAATCACTGTGATGACAAAATAATGCTAGTTTAGTAATGCATAGCTAACCATAGTGAAATTTTGTGATACTTATCCTCCTTTGGGCCTAGATGATTAATTTGTAAGTGGTTAACATTATTTCTTTTGTCTCTCAAAAGATGAAAGCCTCGGCAGCTGAAGAAAAAAGAATCCAGCAACAGATCTTGGTCCAGCAGAAGAAGGAACTGACCACCTTCTTGGACACACAGAAAAAGCAGTACAGACTATGCAGAGAAAGAATGAAAGAGGTGAGATCAGGACAGTCAATGAATTCACAGAACACAGTACAAACCCAGGACAGCTTTTTATGTAGGGGCCCCACTTCAGGGCCAAATGAGAATTTTTAGTGGGCCTTCGTTGTCACAGGGTCCTTAACAACATCAGACTAATTGTTTCATATTACCTATAAATGGCTATATTCTATTTTTGCAGTAAAAATCATCTAATTTGTTCTACAT